AAAATCGTAAGTGTTCTTTCTCTAGTTTGTTGTTAATCCTTCTTAACTAGCATCCTCTCATGATTTCATCCATGAAAATCATGTTTTCATAGATCTTCAAGTTTCACCAAGAACACCAAGAACACACACTAGTGTTCTTGGCCAAGATCGACCATTTCAAGCCTCTATATCGTAAGTGTTCCTCCCTACACTTGATATCTAGTTAGGACTCATGCTTAGGGACTTGCAAACAACACCAAAATCATCATCTAGAGAGTTTACGGCCCAAGAGTAAACACCCTTGGTCGCAAACTCCATCAATGGTCTAAATGTGTACCTTAAACACATCTATGCTCTTGTTTAACCTTAGAACATTTCAAACCTTGAGACTCCTTACCTTTAAGACCCTAAAAGTGACCAATTAGAGAGTTTACGGCCAAGAGTAAACTCCCTTGGGCCTTAAACTCCTCAATACTCTCCAATGAGTGGGTCTTTTCTCATCCTTGTGTAGAGCAAAAGTCCCTCAAGCGTCCCTAGCCTTCAAACCAACACTTATGCATGTTTGAACATGAGTTTACGGTCGTAAACTCCCTTTGGCCTTAAACCCATTGTAGTAAACTCATGTTAAGGTCATTCTACACTCCTTAGTCCAATCACATGTGATTCCAACACTTGGTCTAAGTGTTTCCTAGTCCCGAAAGGCGTTTCCTTTCATATAGTTGCTTCTAAACCCTATATTCATGCCAATATATGTCAGTTAGGACTTGTTAAGTCTCGAGACATCATTCGTGGAGCTTCTCATCCTTACACGCATACCCGTTTGAATCACCCACATCATGTGAGTTCATACCCTGTAATGAATCTTTTAAATTGTTTGAAATGCTTTTAGGGGGGGGGGGGATTACAAGTTGAACACAATTTATAATTGTGTGATTGTTTGTTAAACATCTTCTAATGGATTACTTATGTCTTTTATAAGTAATCAAAACATTTCAAAAACTCTTTTAAAGTTATGTTACTTTTTAGTTTAACAGACTTCCATTCTAAAGTACAAGCATAACTAGTAGTTAAACGAGTCTTTTCAACAACAGTTCAAGTTAAACACTAGTAAACTATAATGGGTATAGTTTAAAGAGTCAGTTCATACTAGATACAATACACGATAACATAGGAGAACACACAATAAAAAGAAACAGCGAAGAAGATACAATACACGATAACAAAAAGAACATACTATACAGAACAAACATAATAAGGTGCTATAGCATAGGACAACTACATGATCTAATTATATGAATGAATCAGTAACGCATTGTTCTAAACAAAAGGTGATAGTTATATTGGGTATACATGATCACATAACTTTAATGTGGATATTATGGCCTAGTAATTAGTTGCGGAAACCTCTCTTGATTCCTAGAATCTCTTGTATGGAGAACGTTTAGTATGGGAATTTCTTATCACATTATGACCTTAATAAAACAAATATGTTTTAAAGTAATTAGTACGATTAGTTTGTCAATTTATAAGACAACTAAGTACTTATATTTTTTCGTTACTTTCATAAAGTGACAGTTCCACTTGAAAGTTAATGCAAACTATTTTCGATCATTTAACCCACATGACCAAATCGAACTCTACTCGACGAGTTGAACACACAACTCATCGAGTCACTTATGAAATCCCAATAATAATAAATAAATAAATAAAATACCTGAGAGTCAGGATATTACAAAATGAGATTTGATGAAGGATTAGAGATTCTTTAAGCCATCGTCATAACCTTCAACAACCCATCGACTAATACCTTCATCATCTACTCTCCTTCACCATCATTCACCAACATATAGAAACAACTTTATGATATCCCGTTTGCAGAAAATGATGTAGATATGGTGTTCATCTTGAATAAAAGTAGTTTAAATATCAGAATATGAGGCACATCGGGTTCTTTTCCATCATCTATCTATATTTTGGTTTATATACCATTATTTTTTATGTTGATATGATCTGTGTTCATATGTGTTCTTGGAGTTAATTGTATGGACTCATGGACACACGGACGAGCATACAAATTTGGGTTAGTTTGTGTTGCTTAAAAAATAAATGACTTGATTTCTACATTCTCGTATTGAGAAGCCTGAAGAAGTTACACGAGACTTTTGAAATAAGCTCAACATTAAACCTGAGAGAAATTCTTCATACCACACCAAAATAAAACTTATTATTTTCATATTTATCGTTTTTACGAATGACATCTAGAGAACAGGGTAATTCTATCGGTGGTAATATACGTATGTCCTCATTCATATAAATTGTTAAATCATTAGGGTAAATAAACACCGTTACACTCACAAGCGGGTACATCAAACAATTTTTAGGGTCCATATGGAATTTACCAAGTCTATGATACGTGGGAGTAGGGTCTATAATCTCCAAGTTTCTGTATGGTTTTTTACTCATTTTGAAAATTCCCCCTATATATATGTTTATCTTTACTCATTTTGAAGATTTTCACTTACCATATTAATATTTTGTAGACAATCTTGGAACCTGCAAAAATGAAGAGCATTGAGGAAGAAATCGTGGAACCTGCAAAAATGAAGATTGACATTATTCATTACCTTCTTCAGATTTATAGACAATGAACTTCTTGAACAAATGTGATTTCAGGGGAACAACGTTAAGAAATAATGTGTGAGATGTTCCGGGAAACCAATTCATACCAAAAGCCCCCTATTGTATACATCCAAAAAAATGGAAAATATATTTTTTGGTTTATAACAAGTTCCAAAGTTATTCAAAATTTGTTTCTGATTTCCATTTCATTTTCCGCTAATGCGGTCAATTGATATTTTGATGAAGTTTTGGAATTAAAGTGCTTTTGTTTATAATAGCATACCATTTTCAAAATTTCTATTATAACATTCATATTTTCTTGGTATTCCTAATATAATCTAAAACTTGAGTCACTTCATTCATTTTGGAATATAGGTGAGACATTGTTCAGTCTAAAGTTTTAATAAAATTGCTCCTTCGATGATCAGAACGGGCTGCATCGAGCATGAACGGATGCACCATACAAAGAGAGGGTGCACATGACACCATTGAAGCTCTTACACAACATGATACGCTCACAACATGAGAAATTCATCATATATGCTCAATATGGAAAGAAAGGAAATTGTACATCCTAATTTGAAAATTTAAAATTTATATTTGCCAACTGCTGTCCCACATGGTCCCAAAAAGAAATCACTTTTCAATTTTCGCCATTGTCCTTTCATCGTGGGTATGTGTGTCTCTGTATGTAACTATGTATGTGTGTTCCGACTTTATCTGTATGACTATATGTTGACAGTTATATACTAATGTATCAGTTTACATACGTTTTTGTTTAGTTTAGCTAAATTCCAATTAACATGTAAAAATTAATTAATTGATGTATTCTTCTGGCAATTAAGTTATTAACAATATTTCTTTAGCCAAAAGCGTTATTATGCCACCTAAGTTATAACAATTATAAAATGATGAGAAGCATGTAAAATGAGCCTTTTTACATAGATTTTGTTTAAATAATTATTTAGCCAAAGCCTTATTATGCTAGCCACCTTTTTACAAAGATAACTGTTTCAAAAATGTATATATTCACAACTACATAGTAAATGTTAACAATATTTAAAAAAAATTAATATTAAAATATCAATAAATTATACGATACGGAATATATATATATATATATATATATATATATATATATATATATATATATATATATATATATATATATATAGAAAAAGTGAATATAACATAAGGGTATATAAGCTTAAGTACCAAAACTCACCATACTATGTCATTTTGTATCATATATACACATTGTAATTGTCCAAAGTTCTTATAATTAAACTTCTAAGTTAATTTATTTCCTAATTTTTTATAATTTCACATTTATCTTTCTCTCATATAATTTTCATTTTAAACTATAATATATATAACCTAATAGGTGTTCGACAAAAAGATGTGATGTAAGAGGAAAATAATAGTAAAATTTTGAAAATCTTGAAATTAAATCAAGTTGTGATTGATGTTTAAGAATATTATAATGTATATATCAGTCAAAATGACGTGTTATGATGAGTTTGGGTACGTAAGCTTATATACCCTTACGGGTATATATATATATATATATATATATATATATATATATATATATATATAATATATATATATATATATATATATATATATATAGGGTAAAGTGAATAACTAACAACCTTATATAAGCTTAGGTACCTAAGCTCATTAAACTACATCATTTTGCATTAAATTTTCATTGCAATCATCCAAGGTTCTTAAACTTGATCCCTAAACTTGGTTTACTTCAAAAAAAAATTGGAAATTCACCATTATATTTCTCCTACATCATTTCATTTGTAGCGGTAGGATATGAAACCCATCGGACAATATTCAATAGAAAGACGTGATGTAAAAGAAATATATTGGTGAAAGTCCAAAGATTTTGAAAGTAATAAAGTTATAGGGTTAAAGTTTAAGAACCTTAAACCATTACAATGTAAATATGATACAAACCAATGTAGTATTATGGAGTTAGGTACCTAAGTTTATATAAGGTTGTTAGGTATATTCACTTTACCCATATATATATATATATATATATATATATATATATATATATATATATATATATATATATATATATATATATATATATATATATATATATATATATATATATATATATATATATAACTCCCTCCAATCTAGGCATCATCATCATTTCAGATATATATGTAGGAGTGGCAATTTTGAAAAATAACATATACTGAAGGAGAGAGATGGAGGGTGAAGCATATAATTTCGTTTTAGTTTGGAGTGTAGCTTTGGCATCTCTTCTCTACTGTCATAATGTTGGAATGTTTATTGCACCTGGTATAACAAGATTCTTGTCTCTATTTCCAGTCATATTTCTCTTTTTTTATCTCCCTTTAAATCTTCACACGATGTTCCTTTGTGGTCCAACCTTCTTCGTCTTGTCATGGCTTGGAAGCTTCAAGCTCATTCTTTACGCTTTTGGTCAAGACCCTTTGTCTTCACATCCACCCCTACCTTTATCTCAGTTCATGTCTACAGCTTGCCTACCCATCAAGATCATCAATAACCAAGTTTACCCATCTCAAGATTTCACAAAAAAACCCCATAGATCCCCCAAAGGTTATGCTCTTAGGGTTCTTCTCTTATTGGTTGCAGTTAAGGCTTATGGATATAGAGAAAATCTTCATCCTTTATTGGCGACATCAATTTACGCCTATTATATCTTTTTCTCGCTTGAGTTACTTCTAGCTGTGGCAGCATTTTTTGCTCGAATCCTAGTTGGTGCTGAACTTGAACCACAATTTGATCAGCCTCACCATGCTACATCTGTCCAAGACTTTTGGGGTAAAAGATGGAACCTCATGGTTTCTAGCATATTACGCCCTACAGTCTACTTTCCAGCTCGCCAGATCTTTCGTCATCTTCTTCCTGCAGGATGGTTAGCGATTCCTGCTGTTTTCTCAACATTTTTAGTGTCTGGGATCATGCACGAGATGATATTTTACTACCTTGGTCGATTAACCCCAACATGGGAAGTTACATGGTTCTTTGTAATTCAAGGCGTTTGGGTTGGAACTGAGATAGTGCTCAAGAAACAAATAGGTCAGCAGTTTGAGCCACCTATCATTGTATCCAAAATATTGACATTGGCGTTTGTGATGATTACAAGCTTTTGGCTGTTCTTTCCGCCGTTCATGAGGTTAAATCCATTTGGAAGAGGATGTAGAGAGGTATTGGCTTTTGGAGGTTTTTTCAAGCATGGCCAACTAATTAGCCCTGAGGAGTATTCATGTCCGTATTTTTAGAACGGATATATATATTTACACATTAATATGTAATAGTAGCTAATATTAGATGTGTTTGGCAAAAATATTTCGATCGGAAACTACGGTTTTTATTTTTTATATGTGTTTGGCAAAATTTGTTGGATGTTTTTGAAATGTAGTGTAAAATTATATAAAAAAGGTACCTCTAAATTAATAATCACGATGTCAATTATAATTAAGAACAATTCTTTTAATTAATTTTGTTAGTTAATTTTTTTTCTTAACATTATATTAGTATTTCTTAGATTTAGAGTTTTTTATTTATAAGAAAAAACCAAAAGTTTGTGTATTCAATGTGGGACTAGCCCACTTGGTAGAGGTTTTGACACTTAGATTGATGATCTCGAGTTCTATTTAAGACGTTGACGGTTTGTTGATACTAATTGTTTTCGTGTACTAACAACTAACCACTAACCTCGCCTTAAAAATGACTCTTTTACCCTAGCATATATAAAAGAACTCTTTAACCCTTATTTGTTTGTTTTAAAAAGTTTCATAACTTTTTTTTTGTTATTATAGTTATTTTTATAAATCAAATAGGCACACCATTAATACCCTTTATACCCACACCGTAAAGCTATCTACCGCTCTCTTGTCCGGTTTGATGATTATTTTTTATCTTTATTGCATGATCGATCAAAAATAGAGGATAATAATGAGCATCCATTTTGAGTTTATTATTGGAGTTTTGATGTTAGAAACATTTAAAAACGAATATCGATTTAGTATTGTGATGTGACACTAATTCTTGATCTTTATAGATCGAATTTTTAGCATTACTAAATATTCTTCAAAATTACGATTATTTATATTTAGACTTTAAATTTAGGGATGTCTCATTTATGTTTGTATCCGAATCAGATTTTATGATTTTTCGAGGTTGGATTTGTGATGTTTTGAAGACGATGATTATTTTGGTGATGCAGAACGACGCTTATATTTGATCTTGAGATAAAATTTTTGGCATTACTAGAACATGTATTCAGATTCAAATTATTTATCATTTAGACTTCACTTTTGGATGCTACACATTTTCACAGGTTATTCTTTAGAGATTTTTTTGGTGCATTATCAGTTGTGTTCAGAATATTGAAAATGTTGTGTGATTCGACATTGTGCTCTTTGGTTCAAAAATCGAGGGTGAGCCTATGAACATGATTGGTTTTTGGGGATTGATCACATTCGGAGATTGAGATTTCATATGTTTATTTAGAGATTGGGTTCCGCTGTACGATCTTTGATGATAGAGATTCCATTGCCAGATTCCGAGATCATGATAGCTTCTGGTTTTCCGACACTTCAGCACTAGACCTACCAAACCTACCCATTGGGTGTTCTGCCTTTTATCACTGCTTTACACTCACCATTTCCGAGCATCTAGAGGGAGATTATTGGGGCATGAAAATGCTCTACAATGATGAGTGTTTATTATGGTAGAGTATTCTCTTTGTATGGAAAACATATTCCCTCTAATAGTATATAAAGTGGAGGTGAGTGTTTTTTTATAATATTAGTGCACTATGTAGACTTTAGAGAGAGAGAGAGAGAGAGAGAGAGAGAGAGAGAGAGAGAGTATGTGTGTGTGTGTTTGGTTGGGGATTCTCCCCATCCATGAGTGTTCTTCAAGTAAAATTTTGTATCTCTCTATCTATCCATTATTAGTTTACTCACATATTTTGTTCTTTATTGTTCATATAATTATCTTCTTGGCAATACTATTTCGCACTAATCCAAACGATAAAATGGGTTCCCATAGCACCCACATGCGATTCTTAAATTTCTTCAACCTTTTTTTTTTTTTTTTTTTTTTGTCTTCTTTAAACATGAATGCCTTGCCTAGACGCTCCTCCTTCATAATTCATTTACAATTTTTCTTTAAGACTTTAAGTATGGAAATGTGAAGTTCCAAGTTAAATAGACCTTTTTGAAATAAGAAAAGTTAATTTATTGAAACCTTCAGGATGTTATTTGTTTATATCTAAACACACGTTACAATGTAAGTAAAAAGGTCTTGAAATAACTAATGCAAGCCTATCCTTTATTCCACTCAGCATCCTAACTAGGAAATTTCAACTTTGGCTCCACTACTTGTGATGCAATAAAATGAGTGGGTGAGGTTTAGGAAACTTGGAGAGATACGTAGATTTTTTCAATCCCATAACATTTTAATGATAATATATCATTCCTGCAAGACATATTTGTTATGTGTAAATATATAACTTGTCCTAATGCCATCTACCCAATCCCAACTGATCCTCACGTGTCCTAATTTGACAATCATTTGGAAGAATCACCTTACCGACTAAACTATTGAAGAACCTGTTCGACTACACCATCTGTGGTAGTCCTTAGCTGGTGTAAGACGTCCAAGGTAACCAATGCTCATAGATTTTGATGAATATGGCTTTGCATTTCATCTATGTCCATAGGTTATAAAGGTATCCTAGCATGTAACTCATAAGACGGCCTAGAAGAACCAAGTATTGGTCATCTACTCTGGTTGATGACCCAGACATACCATCCGGTTGTCTGATCAGGACCCACCATTTCTATTCATACCAAGATGGGGAGGATTACACTCCGATCTGGTCCCACACTCTAACCCAACTATGAGACCTAATCGATGTCAAGCCTATTCGACATACGGAATCCTTTATAAGTCTGCAGGCTCTTCAAACAGGCACTTATCTTCATCGACCCTTAACTCTAGAAGCGGAAGAATATCCACTTCTTCTCCCAATTACTTCCTCAAATAACAAACGTGAAAGGTATTGTGGATACCTTCTAGTTCGGTGGGAAATTCAAGCTTGTAATCTTGATTCATTGTCCTTTGAAGAACCTTGAATGATCCTATGAAACGAGAACTCAACTTCCCATAGTTTTCAAATATAATAAGCCCATTCCATGTCAAGAATTTAATTAACACTTGATCACCCACATCAAATGTTATCGGTTATCGTTTCTTATCTGCATAGCACTTTTCACGACTTTGGACACCTAACATCCTTTTCTTTATGAATTTAACCTTCTTGGAAGTTTGATGTACTATATCCGTACCCGCAAAATGCTTCTCTCCTGCTTCTAGCCCAAACGACGACATTTGGCAGTTCCTTCCATATAGTGCTTCGTAGGGAAGCATCTTAGTACTTGAGTGATAACTATTGTTGCATGAGAATTCGGCCAAGGATAAACGGTCATCCCAACTATCTGGAAACTCTAAGGCGCATGCCCGCAACATATCCTCAAGGTTTGAATAGTTATCTAACTCTGTCTATTTGTTTTCGGATGATAGGTAGTGCTCAAACATAACTTTTTTGCCTAACTCCTCCTGCAGACTTTTCCAAAATCTGGAGGGGAATCTACTTTCCCCATCTGACACGTTATACAAGGTGTAACAACCCGTTATTCTCAATCCAACGAAATCAAAAAACTACATTTTGATCCTTATGTTTGTATTGTGAAAACAAGGAAGATCTGATGTGCAGGGACAAGGTTTGAAAACACAAACCTTGAATGAATGCTTAAGATCAATGTCTGCTTACTAATTAGTGTTCCAGTCAACTCTGGCAAGACCAATCGAGTCTGAATAAGTACTTCAATCAAAGTATTCAATATATTAATGAAGAGAGAAGATAATGATCAATGCAAAGATATTAAATGAAGAACAATAAGAATGTTTTTGAGAGAAATAAATGAACTTAGTAAAAACTCTATATTTGAGAATGAATGATCCATCGTTTGACTTTGCATTAAAAATTCCCATAAATAGGTGTAAAGGTTACATTGAAACAATTGCGATACTGACTTAGGACCGGACAATAGAACTGTATCTGACATTCTGATTGTCTAACATTACAAAAGACTAAGTCTTATGAAAAGTCATATCAATGTAAAGACAAACTTTAATAAATGCATAAAGACAAAATATATTGATTCCAGATCGGAACCCATTCCAAACATGAGATTCATTCCGAAACGTCTTAACTTCAACTTCACATCTTCTTCTTTTCCGGTCCGGACAGATTCCAGACCACTTTTCACACTATACTCCGGACCATCATTGTTTTGGAATATCTCCACTTCGGAGTTTTAGCTTAGGATTGTTAGAGGTTCACGTTCTAGTTCTAATAATCTCCCCCTAAGTGAACATAGCAATCGATTTAGTTTAAACAGTATCTTCTTTGATGAAGGTATGGGCCCCGAACAACCATTTTGGAACTTCAATGTACCAAGAAAGATGACTCATAAACTTGGCTTTGACTTGTTCCGGAGCTTCTGATTTGGCGGTATGAGAAATAAACTTCTGCAGGGCTTTGGTAGGAACCAGGTGTTTGTCAAGGACTCGGAAAAGGTCCTTGTTTGTTTTTCTAGTAGTGTAGAAAAACTCTAGAACCGGTTCTTCAATTGGATAGTCTGCAAGCAGTTCAGCTTCCGGAAGAACATAATTTATTTTCGGCACAAAGTCTTGAGTTCCATACAGGTGAGTAAGCTCATAGTCGTGTCTTCAAAATTCTACGACATAATCTTTGATAAATTTCATAGATGTGTGATACGCACTGATACTGATGTCATCTCTTTGAATCCCTATGAAGTAAGTAGCCAGTGTGAGAATGTCGTTCAGATTCATCGAAGGGAAATCCGCATCAGAAATGGTTTGGGGAGTTGGCTTGTTCTATAAGACGTGAAATCGGAATAGTGGGCAGTTGAGATCGAATTTCACTAAAATTTTTCATCTGAAACCATCTACTTTGGTAATTTTCTTCCTTGTCCACAATTCCTTGAGAGGTTATCCGTGCTTAGAGCAGAACATTTTAAGTCTTTCTCGCTTAGTCCGGAGAATCACCTCAGGATCGTCAGATGGGTGAGGAGGAGCAAATTTGGTGTAGAATTTGTTGTAAGGAGAGAGAGAGAGAGAGAGAGGAAGATCTAGTTGTGCAGAATCATTGGTAGGAACATTGTAATACATGAGTGGGATAATC